AGCATAAGATTCACACTTTTAAAGTGTACAATTCAGTGGCTTTGGGTTTATTTACAAAATTGTGCAATCATCCCCACTATCTAACTTCAGAATATTTTTATCGTGCCAACGAGAAATCCCATACCCAGTAAGCGTTCATTCCCCACTCCTCACTGACAACCACTGATTTACTTTCTGTCTCTATGTAGTTGCCTATCTGGGATACTTCACATAAATAGAATTATGGATTATGTAGTCTTTTGAGACTGGCTTCTTTCACATAGCATAATACTTTCAACATTCATCCAGGTTGTAACGTGTTTTAGTATTCCTTTTTATGGCCAAAAAAATATTCCATTGTATGAATATACTACATCTTGTTTATCCATTCATCAGTTGATGGACATTTTGGTTATTTCTACTTTTTGGTTATTATGAATAATAGTGCTATGAGTATTCATGCACACGTTTTTATTCAAACGTCTGTTTTCAGTTCTTTTGGGTGGATACCAAGAAGAGGAATTACTAGATCATATGGTAATTCTGTGCTTGTTTTTGAGGAATTATCAAACTGTTTTCCGAAGTGGCACTACCGTTTTACAATCCCATCAGCTATGCATGAGGATTCCAGTTTCTCCACATCCTCACCAACACTTGTTATTGTCTGTCTTTTTGATTGTAGTCATCCTGGTGGGTGTATGTCATTGTGGTTTTGATTTGCATTTCTCTGATGACTAATAGTGTTGAACATCTTTTTATGTAGTTATTGTCCATTTTTATGTTTTCTTTGGAGAAATATCTACTCAGATCATTTGCTCACTATTTTATTTATTTATTTATTTTTGTGGTACGTGGGCCTCTCACTGTTGTGGCCTCTCCCGTTGTGGAGCACAGGCTCCGGACGCGCAGGCTCAGTGGCCATGGCTCACAGGCCCAGCCGCTCCGCGGCATGCGGGATCTTCCTGGACAGGGGCATGAACCCGTGTCCCCTGCATCAGCAGGTGGACTCTCAACCACTGCGCCACCAGGGAAGCCCTGCTCACTTTTTAATTGGGTTGTCTTTTTACTGTTGAGTTGTAACTTTTTTACATTGTAGGTGCAAGCCACTTATCAGATATATGAATTACAAATATTTTCTCCCATTCTGTGGATTGTCTTTTCACATTCTTGATGGTGTTCTTTGAGGCATAAAAGTTTTTAATTTTGATGAAGTCCAATTTATCTATTTTTTCTTAAGTTGCTTGTGCTTTTAGTGTCATATTTAAGACACCAAGATCCTAGGAAATATTTTATATTGCAATATTTCCTCTCTCCCATGAAATTCTGAGGAACTATATTAGATATTCTAACTTTATCCTACAAGTCTCTTTTAAAAAAATATTTATTTAAGTAATTTATTATTTATTTATTTAATTTGACTGCACCAGGTCTTAGTTGTGGCAAGCAGGATCTTCATTGCAGCATGTGGGATCTTTCTTAGTTGTGACATGTCAACTTCTTAGTTGTGGCATGCAGACTTTTTAGTTGTGGCATGCATGCAGGATCTAGTTCCCCAGCCAGGAATCAAACCTGGGCCCCCTGCATTGGGAGCATGGAGTCTTACTCCCGGACCACCAGGGAAGTCCCCATCCTACAAGTCTCTTAACCACTCTTCCATCTGTTTTTCTTTCTTTCATTTCTTTTTCCAGTTTTATTGAGACATAATTGACATACATCACTGTGTAAGTTTAAGACATACAGCATGATGGGTTACATGATTTACATATATTGTGTAAATATTTACATATATAGATATTTAATGATTTACAAATATTTATATATATTGATTTACATATTTTGTGAAATGATTACCACAATATATTTAACTAACATCTATCTTATCATATGGATACAATAAAAAGAAAAAAATGAAGAAAAAAGGACAAAAAATTATTTTGTGATGAGAACTCTTAGAATTTACTCTCTTAACGTCTTTCCTATGCATCATACAGCAGTGTTAGCTATAGTCTTCATGTTGTACGTTACATCCCTAGTATTTCCTTATGTTATAACTGAAGTTTGTACCTTTTGACCACCTTCCTCTAATTCCCCCTTCCCCCACCCTCTTCCTCTGGTAACCACAAGTCTGATCCCTTTTTCTATGTGTTTGACTTTTTAATTTTAGATTTCATGTAAAAGTGAGATCATACAGTATTTGTCTTTCTCTGTCTGACTTATTTCACTCAGCATAATGCCTCCATTGCTCATCCATGTTATCTCAAATGATAGGATTTCCTCATTTTCATGGCCGAATAATATTCTGTTATACATGTATATGTATAATTTCTTTACCCAATTTCTTTATCCATTCATCCATTGATGGACACTTAGGTTATTTCCACATCTTGGCTACTATAAATAATGCTGTGAACATGGGGGTGCAGGCATCTTTTGGAGTTAGTGTTTTCATTTCCTTTGGATATATTCCCAGAACTGGAGTTGCTGGATCATGTGGTAGTTCTATCTTTAATTTTTTGAGAATCCTCCATACTGTGTCTCATAGTGGCTGTACTACATTTTTTTGTTTGTTTTCCTGTATTTCATTCTGAGTAATTTCACCATATCTATCTTCCAATGCATCAATTCTCTTTTTAGCTGTGTCTAATCTGCTGCTTTTCTGTTTATTAACATTTAATGTCATTTAATATATTTTGCATTTCTGGAATTTCTATTTGCTTTTTGTTTTTTTTTTCAGATCTCCTTGTTCTCGTTTATAGTTACCTGTTCACTTTTTAGGGTTTCATATCTCCTATTTAAGTCTTTACTTATTTTAGGCATATTTAATTTTTATTATTTTCCACATTCTTCATTTTTAAAATCTTAAAGTTTTAGGGTTTCTAATCCTCTTATTTATATTGCAGTATTTGTCTTATGGTCTCTGTGGATTGTGTGTGTGTTTACATACATACATATATATGAATATATGTATATATAATATATAATGTAATATATTTGAAAGTTCATCTTTAGCAAGGCTTCTACATTGTGGCAGTCTAGTGTGGCTTTCTTTGCAGAGAATCTAAGAGATCATCTTGTATTTTCTTCTTCCCTGTGTTTTTTCCCTGGTCCATGACCAATTTCTATATTAATTTCCAATTTGATGTTTCCTAGACTCTACAATTAGTAAAATTATAATCTCAGATACGTGAGGCAATGGCTTAAAGTTTTAATTTTCTTTTATTTTTTACCCAGAGCCCAAGCAGAAAACAGACGAGCTTTCTTCCCTAACTACTGGCTCTGCTGATGGATGATATTTTCTGCTCCACTCTTTTGCTGAGGTTGCAGCTATTTGACAAGTAAACTCCATGTGGGGTTTTTCACTCTTCCTTCTTCATCTCACCCTGGGCCTCAGCTCCTTTCCCCACAAGAACACTGAAACTCAAGTCCTTTGGTCATTTGGAACAGACTCCACCCACCTGCCCTTGTATCTGCAGTGTCAGCTCACACAGCAGTTTTCAGTTCTCTCTTCTACCTGGCCCTGGGATTTCTTCTTTCTTTCTTGTGAGCTCAACTATAACATTTAAAAAGATTTTTAAAAACTATATTGCAGGGACTTCCCTGGTGGCACAGTGGTTAAGAATCTGCCTGCCAATGCAGGGGACATGGGTTTGATCCCTGGTTTGGGAAGATCCCACATGCCATGGAGCAACTAAGCCCGTACGCCACAACTACTGAGCCTGCTCTCTAGAGCCTGCGAGCCACAACTACTGAGCCCGTGTGCCACAACTACTGAAGCCCACGCGCCTAGAGCCCACGCTCCACAGCAAGAGAAGCCACCCAATGAGAAGCCCACACCGCAAGTAAGAGTAGCCCCCACTCGCTGCAACTAGAGAAAGCCCACACGCAGCAACAAAGACCCAACACAGCCATAAATAAATAAATAAACAAATAAAAAAACCCCATAGAAACCCCTATATTTTAGACAGCATATCTAGGAGTTTTGGGAGGGGGGTTTATTTTATCTCAGCCTGTCATCTTGCCAGCACAGCTTGCCCCCTCCCATTATTGTTTTTAAAAAGTCTTTTGCTGAGAGATCACCGTTACTGGAATAATATGAGCATTAGGCTCCTATGTCTAGCAGGCTACCCTTATGGGAAGAGAGAGAAAGAGAGAGATTTAGTAAGGAAAGGAATTCTTGTTACATTGAAAGTATCATTTTGAGCCAGTTTTCTAAACTTATCAGTTTTTTAGAGACTTCCCTAACATGCAGTCTGAACACAGGGGGTTGAATTATTGTTTTAGGACCCAATGTGTGAATTATTAGATATTTTTTATTTGTTTTTTTTCCCTTCTATTTATTAGCATCTCTTCTGTTGGCTGGATCATGGAAAAGATATCATAGAAAACCCTTAAAACTATTTAATAACAATCATTAGCATCTCTGATAGAATTGTGATTGGAAAGACGTAGAAACAATTGGCTGAAATAAAATCAGAATTTTTACCATCTCTGCTCTTGTCCTCTTAGTCTGTATATAGGAATCTGACAACTAATTCTGAAACTTCCTATAAGACCATACTGTTACTGTGGAAATTTTAAACTCTACTCTACGGACCTATATAGAGTTCCCCAGAGAGTCTTCAAAGAATTCTGCAGGAAATAATCTATTTGTTTGTTTATTCAACGAATACTCACTGAGTGCTGGTCAGATGTCTGACACTGGCTTGAGTATGGTCTTTGGGGAGATAGAACTGCCAAGTTCCTGGCCCCCACTCTTTCAACCAGAGCAATTCTGCTGGTATCAGTTTAATAGTTGGTGTTCTGCATAAGGAGGGCTCTGCTGCTTAAAGAAAGTTTGAAATCGTCTCTGATATAGTACCCTTGTTTAAAAGAAGTTTCTATTAAGCAAAGCTATTTGGGGGCCATAGCCTTATAGTTGTATGTGTAAATAAATTATTCATCCAGCTCAATGATAAGCATATAGTAGGCACTCTGTGTTATTCAGGGTAGGTTATATGAAGCTGCTATAACAAATGACCCCCAAATCTCAGTGGCTTACAACACAAAAGATTTATTTCTTGCTTATATGTATATTTAATTAAATTTTTATTGGAGTATAGTTGATTTACAATCTTGTGTTAGTTTCAGGTGTACAGCAAAGCCAATCCATTTATACATATACATGTATCCACTCTTTTTTTAGATTCTTTTCCCATATAGGCCATTACAGAGTATTGAGTAGAGTTCTCTGTGTTATATAGTAGGTTCTTATTAGTTATCTATTTTATATATAGTGGTGTGTATATGTCAATCCCTCAGTTTATCCCGCCTCCCTTTCACCCTTGGTTACCATAAGTTTGTTTTCTACATTTGTGACTGTATTTCTGTTTTGTAAATAAGTTCATTTGTACCATTGTTTTTAGATTCCACATATGCACAATATCATATGATATTTGTCTTTGTCTTTCTGACTTACCTCCCTCAGTATGACAATTGCTAGGTCCATTATTTCTTGCTTATATTGTATGTCCATTGCACATCTTTTGTGGCTCTGTTTACATATCCTCCTACTTTGGGACTCAAGCTGACAGAGCAGACTCAAGCTAAAACATTGCTGGCCCATGGCAGTGGTAAAAACAGAACATGGCAAAACTTACATTGCTTCTTACAGCTTCTGCTTGGAAATGACACGTCACTGCTACAGACTTTTCACCTGATGTCACTGGCACAGGGAAATATAATCTTTCCATAGGGAGGGGCAGCAAATATTTGAGAACGATCATGCAAAGTGCTATAGTATTCAGTAAATATTTGTCAATTAAACAACTTCATACAATAAATAATCATGTACCAATGCATTCTCAAATCCCAACCCTATAAGCCATTATCTCTGAGTAGAAGTCCACGATTGTGTGCTTTTTTGAATTATGAGAAAAGCTGAAATGAGGTTAAAATAATCTTGAGATTTTTATTACTACAACTAAGTAAGAACTTCCCTCCATCATTGGGTAAAGAAACCGCAATATCCATTCCCTCAACCCTACATCTATTGTGTCTTTTCAAAATAATATTAGAAGGAAAAACGTCTGGAACTTCTAAAGATTTAGAAGAAATTCACATCAGCAGAAAGCCAGGCTGTAAATCCCAAGAAATGGAGGAGCTTAGTTCCAGAGCCAGATTGTATAAGACAGGGCTTAAAAAGTAATCTCGAGCTATCCTATGTAAAACTCATTGTCTGCCAAGAGGAAGCCTCAAAGGGGGTTGCAGAGAATGAAGTAATGAAATGGATTCCAGACTACCATCAGGAGTTTCTTGATTCAAACAAGACCAGCTTACCGAATCATGCTCTGTGTGAATCTATGATTTCCCTCTTTCTGCAAAAAAATGAAGGAAAGCATATAGATATTCTTGCTGGAGCTGGAATACATAGAGAAGAGATGCTTATCTGTGCAAAAAGATACATAAAGGGAAGCTATGACTGGACTCTGCAGTGCAAATGGCAGAAGTTAGATTCAAACTGCTTTTAGAGAAAGGGAATAATACTGGTTCTCAAAGCTGAAAAGCCCAGAGATGGATTTGGCTTTAGGTATGGCTGAATCCAGAGCCTCATGTCATGTTGTGTCATTTCTGTCTCTTGTCTCTCCTTGTTTCTGTTTGGCTTTATCCCACAGGCTGGGTTACCCCCATCCAGGTTGTCCTCACCAGGGCCTTGACCTGTGCATCCCACACCTGCCTTGGCTGGGCAGTCAGACATCTCTGGAGCTACCTGCAGCCGAATCAGGTCTTAGGCTGCTGCTAGCCTGTGTCTATCCTTCTTCTGCAGCTGATCTGGGCCTCTTTGCGAGTATCCACTGAGGTGCTCTAGCTCTCATGCTCTGCCATTTGCTGCTTCTGCAGGGCATCAGCGTGACTTAGCATAACTCAGCTGATGCTGCTGTCTCTGTAGGCTTTGCCCACAGGTTTTTCATATGCCCGCATCATGGCCCCTGCCGGAGCATGCCCTACCACCAGGATACTTTCCCAGGCCACCACCAGTGAAATCTTTAGCAGTTGAGCTGCTGCTTTGTGACCTACCAACCCAGACAGCATCCTCTTCGCCCACCACGTGGTGGATGAGGTAGTCACAAATCCCCATCTTTCTGCCTGTATTGTCTGACCTCCCTTGGCATCGCTTAAGCTTCCTCCCAGAAGCAGACATTGAAATGGGCTTAAGCAGCAAGGTTTTTATTAGGGCAGATGCCTGTGAGAAAATGGGGAAGGCGGCCAGGAAAATTCAGGAGAATCAGCAGACCTCAAGAGAAGGGAGGGAGGGTTGGGTGGAAAGGTCCCAGACCGACAAGCAGTTTAAGGAAGATTCTGCAAGGATGCCAGGTAGTTCTTGAGCCCACCTGGGGGTCGCCCATCTCCCAGGCAGGACCAGCTATATTATATGTAGGGCCCGGTGTGAAATGAACATGCAGGACCTCTTGTTAACAAATTTTTAACAGCAGAGCATTCAACCAAGTACGGGGCCCTTATGAGTGGAATGTTCTGTGTGACTGCGTGGGTCTTGTGCCGGTGAAGCCAGACCTGCTCCCAGGCTGCCTTAGTATCCCCACTGTGCTCAATCACTGCCGGGGAGTAGCTCATGGGAAAATGGGTGGCCTCAGTGCCACACAGCGATAGATTTCAGAGCCCAGGGGGTGGGGCCCTTTTTGTGTGTGTGTGGTTATTTATTTTTGTCTCTTAAGAAGGTTGAGGATGAACATGTTATCCTCTATTTCCAGCTAATCCTTTAAAATGACACTTTAATCCTGATGCAATTTATTTGTATGAATGGTGTGAAGTGGGGATTTAAGTTTTGCCCTTAGTTGATAACCACGTGTCCCATTATTTATTGAATGGCTGGTCTTTTCTGATTTAGATGCCCATTGTGTCAAATATTAAATTCGCATCTATACGTGGGTGACAGGAAGTGATAATGGAGTTGTTTTCATCTTATTTTAGCTGGGTTCTCAAGAGAAGCCATGTCCCACTTTCCAAATGGGAGAAACAGGAAGGGTTGGCAGAAGGGTTTTAAGACTCTTAGTTTCTCGAAAATACAGGGTGCACAAAAGAGCTAAGAGGGAAGCTAGAGGAGGATCTTCCTTAGAGAGGGTGGTTGACGAATTCGGGGTCTCTTCACCCCAAAAGGGAGGTAGGGGTGCTTGCACTTCTTCCTAAGTCTAGGGAAAGGGGATCCCGTGGGACCACCCAGAGAGCTTGCTGTGCATGTCCCACAGCTGGGGTGACGCGGTAGGCTGGTGTTTGACTCATTCCAGAAAAACCTTAAGCTCAAGGATCTGCAGCTGCTCTGTGCGGCAAGGGCAGGTGGCCACCTTGCCCCGTTCCCCCTCCTTCCCCTCCCAGGGCTGCCCTCAGCATCTCCACCCTCCTGGGCATCACAGAAGCCAACTTCCCAAACGGCACCAACTTGGCTCCTTGCCCTCCGGATTCCCACTGGGTCTGGGCATCGGGGAGAGTGGACAGGGAGACACAGGTGGGAGCATGTACCCCCAGCCGCCTCCCCACTGGGCACGGTTTGTGGAAGGGCTGCCATCCACAGCTCCACACCCCTGCTGCCTCTCACTCCTTCAGGCCCAGGGGTGAGAGGCGCTCCTGCTTTCCTGAGCTCAGAAGGCTTCCCTTCTCTGCTGGCTTCCCTCAACGCTGCCCACACTTTTATGGCTCGTCCTCCCTTCATTGAATCAGCTTGCATTTCCCTTCCGAGTGGGCCATCTGTTTCCCATGGGGAGGAACCTCGATACAATGGCTTTTTATCTTTTGGAAGAAGATCTTTATTCATTTCTTTTTCCTAATTCAAACTTTTTTTATGCTGAGTGCAGAAAACTTGGAAATTAGAAATGCATTGGAGAAAAGTTGGAGGGCTTAGCCTGACTGTTCTGTTTTCTGTTCTACCCCAGTTCCTGGGTGATCTCATCCAGGCCCAGAGCTTCAATTCATCTATATGCTATGGATCCCCAAATTTATATCCTCACCCATTCTTCTCCTCTGAGTTCCAGGTTTGTGTGTCCAAAAACCTGTTTACTATGTCCACCTGATGTCTGCCAGAGCTCCGGATCTTTCCCCGCACCCAGACCCCTACGCGACCCTCCACCTGACACTCACTCCTCATGAGGCTGGGCTGTCTTAGCCATGGCACGCACCCACCCAGCTGCCTGAGCCCCAGATTTGGAGCCACTGAAGACTGTTTTCTCATTACTCCCCTCTCCTCCTGTCCTTCACCCCCTACATTGAATCCATCATCAATCCTGCTGTCCAACTTCCAAAACAGATGTCAGATCTGTGCCCCTCTCTGCACATTGTGGCCATGCCACTTGCCCAAGAGAGCTTTGTCACTTGTCTGCACAGTAGCTTTTATAGGGTCTTCCTGCTTCCGTCTTCTTCCAAAAAGTCAGAGTTGTGTTACTAAAATGCAAATCAACAGTTGTCACCCTCACGCATCCCAGGATGAAGTCCAAACGCCTTACACTGAGCTGGAAGCGGAGCCACTGGATACAGTGGGGCAGTTTGTGTCCTGCTCTGGGCTCCTGGCCACCATGTCCAAGGGCTGATATATGGCCTGAGCCTGGGTCTGTGTCCTGCCACAGGAAGAACCTCTGCTCTTAGGAGAGGGTGCTTTTCTCCAATCTGTGCAAAGGTTCCCTGACTGCTAGGCTCTAATGGCATCTAAAGGCAATGAGCATCACGGTCCAGCACCACATCTTATCGCTCTGCCCCTTGTTTCCAGGGCTTCAGCCACAGCAAATTCCCTCCCTCTATGAACATGCTCGTCCCCAGATCTGTGCAGTAGCAGTTGGGGGGCTCTGCTTCTTGACTGTCCTTCCTTCTCGATCTTTGGGTCTCTGTCCAAATATTGCTTCTTCAGAGAGGTCTTCCCTGACCACTTGAGTAAACTGACTGCCCCAGTCAATTCACACACTAACCTAGTGATTCTATAATTTTTTTTTTTTTTGCGGTACGCGGGCCTCTCACTGTTGTGGCCTCTCCCGTTGCGGAGCACAGGCTCCGGACG